TCATAGCATAAGTTTGCACCCTCAACCGAAACTCAACGCCAGCAGCCATGTTTGAATTCTGCTTTTATTTATTTTTTTTTTTCATATATTTTTTTTTTTTTTGAGCCGGGTACATTTCTGTTTTCAGGCCAGCCATAATTGAAAATAACGATTTTTCTGCGTCTGCATCCAAGGCCTGAGCCTAACACCCGCAAGTAATGTAATTCATTAAAAATTTGTTGGCGTATAGACACAAGACTACGCGTGGGGAGGGGTGGGGAGGGGGGGTTTGTGGATAGAAACGAGATGCTGAAACAGATGTATGTATGCTAGACGTCAACGCACGCAACGGCTGACGACGACGATTACAATTTTTAATTGCATTTCAATTACGAGAATAGTTTCCATTTTTACTATTTTTTTTTTCTTATTTTTTTTTTTTGCGTTGCATTCCAGCTTCAAAGTCGGCAGTGTAGCAGAAGGAGGAGAAAGAGTCTTCAATGTCCTGTGTGCAGTCAAGTGGCGCATGTAGCACATAGCAATCGGGCGGAAGTCTCAGACTGCGACGACATCAACTCCAACTACATAGTTTCATGAAGTATATCAATTGCATAACTTATAAGCACATGGGAGTGGGTGCCCAGGAATGTAGGAATATAGAAGTAGAAGCAACAGCAAGTGCTTTTGCGTAGCTTTTTCCACTTCATTTGCACATTATAATTATGTGCTTGGGCTTGGTAGGAGTCGCAGTTGTAGCTGCTATAGCGCTGCTGATACGTATGCTATAGAAATGCGAAGCTATGCGACCAACGGGTCGTATGCTTAATTAAGTAACATATTTGCATGCTTAAATACACATGTGGCATGCGGCAACCGCAAGTCAAAAGTTAAACCATATAAATAATGACAATAAATGCATGTTCATCTAGCCGCAAGCATATTTACTGTCATAAATGATCGCATTGAACCCTGAATCAATTGACAACAACAATGTGTGCTTGTGTCTGTGTGTGTGTGTGTGTTTGTGTGTGAGTGTATTGGCTCTTCAGCTGCCTGTTGCCGCTGACCAAGTGCAAACTCTGATTTTTATTCTGGTTTGCAGTGCTCTCTCAATATTTACACAGACGATGACGGCGTCGCATACAAATAAATATGACAATATTATTTTATTGACTGTGAAAATATTTACACGCAACAGACGTGCTGCGATATTTGAGACACAAGGCGGCATGCGCCACAGATGACACAGCCAGGACAATGCGGACGCACAACAACTTCGATGGCACAACGTGCAGCGTTAAGCTATTGATTATGGCTATAAAATCGTTCAAGTACTTGGCTTGACTTGGCTCTGATGCCTCTACTTGTGCGGTTGAGTGATTCAAGTTTGTAAACTGATTTCAGTTCCGCTTTAAGGATGTAAAACGAAACGTACTTGTAAAAAGTCAATGTAATATTTATATTACTATTATTTAAATTGTGTTAAAGTTATGATAAATATATATGTTAAACTATATGAAACTGATTGTAAATATAAAATTAATAGTAACAAACGACTTTGGTCTTCCTTCAAGACTCCCTTTAGTTAGACACTAATTTTCCTTATGGTTTTTCTTATTTGTCAACCAAAAAATGTGAATTTCCAAAAGGTTTGCTTCATGAAAACTAGCATTTCTTTACAGTTGCATGTGCATATGCAATTGGTATTTTATGATCGTATATTTGTACATATATTTCTATATATATATTTTGTATTTTTTTATTTTTAGGGACGTTGCGTTTTAACACCTTTATCCATGCCGCCTGTTGACCAATGGTCGCCACCAAATCGGCCAATAAACAAACAAATATTGGTGGGGCTAGACAAACACGGTTTGGTTGCATGTAGTATGTATATGTTTGTAGCTATATGCTGGGTATGTGTGGCATGTGTATGCGCGAGTGCTGTAACAATAAACAACAAACAGGCGGCAATAACAACAGCAGCAACAACAACAGCGACAACAACAACAGCGACAACAATAATGGTTACACATGCTGCTGTCCCAGACCAAACACGCGACATTGCCACGGCTTAGCTGTTGACTGGACTCGGCTTGGCTCGTTTCGCTTTGCGTTTGGTGTGCGTTGGGCTTTTGACGTGGTTAAGTATTAGCCGACTCTGGGCGTCTCGAACTTTCGTCCCTGGGGTCTAATTTGGCTTGCATAAAATATGCATAATAATCAAAATAAAATAAATCAAACGCTACTAAGCAAATGCGAGTATTTATTACATAACCAGACGGAAGTTCAGCCAAAAAAAAATATATATATATATATATATATATATATATAGATATATATATATATACGGTATATAAGTTTGGCATTGTAAGATGAGCCGAACGGAGCATGGCCACTTACTTGAAGTGTGCTTCACACACACACACACACGCACACACACACACACACCATATACACCACTCACTTGAAGTGGTTGGGCGTGGGGCATTGGACCAAAAGTGTTTTTATTACATTTACGTGCAAAATTTGTTGCATGTTCGATGGGCTAAGTCCGTGTAAAGGAAACGTTTCTCAGTGTATTGGTTTAGTAGCATACAAATACAATTGACAACGGCCGATGGACGATGAATACAGTAAACTACCCAGCCTTGCTAGCAATTGTGGCGTGCCAAATCACAAAAAAAAAAGAAAAAAAAAATAGAAGCAATTTTTGGCATTCTCGGCGTGTTTTTGGGTGTGTGCCTCTCTCTGTATGTGTGTGTGTGTGTGTGTTTTTTTGTGTGCGTGTGTTTATCTAAGGCTGGCCACACAATGCTTTTTGTTGCTTTTGCTGGATGCTGCCTATTTACTTGTCTGGCCTTTGTTGTTGTTGCTATTATGGTAGTCGCGTTTTGTTGTTGTTGTTGTTGTTGTTGGCTCAGTGCTGCAATGCAATAAAAGTGTCCTTACACATTTATTTAGCAATTTCTTTTGTTATTATTTTTGGCATCAGCAACGTATTTTTGCTTTTGTGCGTCAGCTTTAAGTGGCTGCCATGTAAGAAACACTCACACACACACACATAAATTCAACTACAGACACATTCACACACACACACACACAAACACAATGAATTCATTAGATTTTCAGTGGCAGTGGTGCTCCTTCTCTTCGCCTCATTGTTGTGTGAGAGTTCAACTTTAAGCTGTTCATGACTTTAAAAATTTGCCATGCTTTTTTGTTTGCGCATGAACTTTTCGTGGCAAATTAAAAAGGCCGCAGGTGGCATGTGGCGTGCAGCAGTTGGCATGGTGGCTGGTGGCAGGTGGCAGGTGTCAAGTAGCGGTGGCGGTGGGTTTCCAAGCAGTCGAATTCACGTGCACAATGTCTCCCTGCCAGCCAGCCATCCAGCCAGCCAGGCACCCACGTAGCCAGTATAGGCCAGGGCAGCCAGCCTCTGTGCTTGTATGCATGAGTTGGTACTCAAATGCCGCTGGGTCTTCAGCGTCTGGACCAAGCATTTGAACGAACAGTGGACGCCTGCAACTCTTTGCCAGTTACTAACTGGCAAGCAGTGCGTGTATACATCTATATATATTGATGTATATAGACATATGTATGTATGTATGTGTGTGTGTGTGTGTGTCTGTGTGTGTTTCTGTGCGTGGGATAGAGCTTGTTGCTTTTTAATTAATAGAAAAGTCCTTTGTGCAGTAATAAATAAATATTATGCTTTTGCTTTTTTGCGTTTATTTTCATTGAGTTCTCGATTGCCACTCACCATGTATAAATGTGTTCGTGTTTATCTATGTGTGTGTGTGTATTTTTGGGGTCCTTTGACTAACTGCTGTCCAAGTGGGGTAGCACACAACCCGTTTGAAAGCCAACTAACTGTATCATTTTTATACTCGCGTTGCGAAAGCAATAAGGCTAATGTCTAATTTCCAAACGAACTCATTTGTTATACTGACCAAAGAATATTATGCAGTGAGAGCTGCACGGACACCATATACAACCAAGTCATGAATTGACGCGCTTTTAAGGACTGCTAATTGGAAAAACCAAAATCATATTAATTTTTCAGCACACACACACACACACAAAATGCATGTAATTCTAATGAAATTGATAGAAAGCAAGCAAAAGTGCTGCTGCTTTAGCCATTTGTGTGGCGGCTGAAACGATGGATCGACCTTTGTGATTACATTGGAATTTTGAGCTGGGCATGAAAATGTTTTCGCATGGATTTGTTGATATTTAAAATCATTTTGTGGCCGACAGAGTTTCGGTTACGACTTTCGGTTTTGCCAGCATTGACGGGCGCGCTTGTCAAATATTTGCCTAATGTGTGGTGCCAGGTTCTGGTTTTTGGTTTCTGGCAAGTGGTTTTTGATTAGCTTTATTACTTTGCGCGCAAGCCGACACGCGCACCCTCTGCTTCCATATATTTCTATGTGTTTGTGTGTGTATATGGGGTGTGTGCGTGTGTGTGTGTGTGTGTAGGGCTAATTAATGTGCTAGAATTGCGTGGCGGGGCGGCAGCTCATGACGCCAACACGGCGTCAGTTGAATGTAGTATACTTTTTCACATTGCGCGACCAGCAACAAACAACAAAGGCTTTGGTCCAAATGTTTGTTTCCCTGCTAATTAGCGGCTTAATTGGCTGTAAGGCCAGTTGCGAGTGCGTGGCAGTCAAGTGGCTGGCATGGCTAAAGCGGGTTTAGGCCATTGGCATTACCTGATGCACGAAGCGGCAGTTAATTGACAGCATAACCGGCCTAAACTAAGGATGCAAAGTGCACTTAAGTTGAGCTACCCAGCCGTACCATAAAATTGGCTTATATGGGCGTACTTCTCAGACAGAGCCATGCCGAGGGGGACACAGACACAGACACAAAGCGGAGGCATAGGTAAAGATATAGTTCAGCTTAAGATAAAGGTAAAGATAAATTGCAATAGGGCGAGATAGAGAAAGGCGCAAGACGCAGAGAGAGAGAGAGAGAGAGAGAGGTCGAGCAGAGAAATATACAAAACTTACCAATTCCGCCGGCAAGCACGGTGCTCGAATCCAGCTTGGCCTTCTTTGTGGCCAGGTCCTGATTATTATTGTCAGAGGCGGGCGCCATGACTGCTGCTTGACTCAAAAGTTCGTCGCTTCCGCGCTGCAGGGACGCACAGATTCACGAATACGCACAGAAAAGATACAGATGCATTCGCATTCGCATTCGAGAGTATTTTGTTGTTGTTTTTGTTATGTTAATAATTTGTAGTTGTAGTTGTAGTTGTAGTTGTAGTTGATGATGTAGAGGCACAGCACAGCAGAGAAGTTGAAGATGGTTTCAGTTTTTACAGTTGAGTTGAGTTGAGTTGAGTTGAATTGAATGGTAGGCAAGTAGGCAAGTTTGTAGTTGTGTGTGTAGTAGATGAAGTAAATACGATTACGGTACATAAAAAGAGAAAAATAAAAGAGAAGAGAACAATATAAATATTTAATATTTACGCAAGTTAAGTAAATTACAGCGATTCAGCCGAGGTGAGCGCTCTTGTTGTTATTGTTCTGGTTCTGGTTCTGGTTCTGGTTTTGGTTTTGGTTCTTGTTATTATTGTTTTAGTTTTAGTTTTTGTTGTCTTTGTTACTTTCGCTACTGCATTCAGTGAAATTTGAGTGGTGCTTAAGCAAGCTTTGCATTTCTGTTTGGGTTAACTTAAGGTACGCTCGGGTTGGCTCAAGTTTAGCTAACTAAGTCAACATAAGCGGGTGCGCTAAATTGCAAATTGAGGCGAGGGTATTTCAAAGAGTAATTTCCAAATAAAGACTACTTAATAATTACTTAATGTTTATCGAAAAGACAAAGAAATACTTGTCCGCATTCATAAATTTCAAGTAAAATTCAAATGCTTACTTAAAACTAAAAATATCGAGTTAATTTAAATGTTAAGTTTTTGTTTACCAACAATTAAATTTATTTTGTATAGCTTAATATTTATTAATTATTCATTCTATGTGATTTCGATAATCAATATTTTTAAATCATCTTATTTTTTAAGTTATCATATTTTATTAAATTCATTGTATCCAGTTTTTAGTTTAAAAAGTTTATAGTGTATAAGGACCCAAAGCTGACGAGTTAAAAACTATCAATCAACGTTGAGTATTTCAATTTATTAATATAAGTAAAATTAGAATATATATTTAGAAATTTATAATGATTATAGATGCAACTTAAAGTTCCTGGTTCTCATCAGGTGCTGTTTAATAATGGAGTGAACAACCCGTGTGAAGTTGGTTAATCATGATTCCCGCTGCATAGTTGGCCAAATAGAGCACAGTTGTACTTAAGTTAAGCTGTTTGCGCTAATCCCCCGGTTGCAGTTTTTGGTAAACAAGCAGCGCGTGGTTCTTTTCTTCTTTTGTTGTTTTCGCCAGTTATTAGTTTAACTTTGCGAGTGGCAAATAATTGCAAAAGCTCACAGAATATTCATTGAAATTAACCACAAATGCTACTGCAGAATGCGAGGGGTGATTGCCTTGGCTTAGTTATATATATATTTATATATATATATATATTTTTTTTTGTTTTGTAGTAAATGTTCGGAGCTAATATTGGCGCTAAACTCTAATTACAAAGCCATGTTGCATGCAGCACATGCATAAGTGTATTGTAATTACATGTGACACTTAATTACCGCACTCTGAGTGCGGCAACCAAGCTAAAGACAGAATCAGAGATGGAGATGTAGTCAGAGTCGAGCATCGAGAGTAACTAAGTTAAGCCACACATTAAACGTAATGCTAGCTATAAAAATAAAGCTGCTGCTGTTGCTGACTGTGTTTGAGGTTGTGTGTGTGTTAGTGTGTGTGTGTGTGTGGCTGTGTCTGGTTGCTGCTGCTGCTTCTGGCTACTGCTATGCATTAGCAGCAATGACAAAAAGTCAATAAACGAGAGCGCACTGACGCCGCTTGCCACAGTCTACAGCAGCACAGCACACGGCGGGCAAATTGAAAAGGGTAATTTTGTGTGAAGTAGGCACCTTTATGCGATAACGGGGAAGGTGGCAGTGGTTAGGGGTTGCGAATGTTACTGCTACTGCTGCTGCTGCTGCTACTGCTACTGCTGGCTGTTGGCTGTTGGCTGCTGCTATCATTGCTGACTACGCTTGAATTCGCCACTTGGCTTATCATCACAGGCGACGCTTTGCTTTTGTTATTTGTCGTTTGTTGTTTGCTGTTTGGTTTTTATTTTTATGTTGCTGCACGTTTTATGTACATAAAAGAATTAGCTTAAATACAAAAACAACATGTGGTAATAGTAATAATAACAAAGCCGAAACGCACGCACTCACACAGACACAGAGAAATATATCAGCAGTTCGCAACACGATTCAGCGCAAGTCGGAGGTCTGACGTGGGCGGCTGTGTGTGTCTGTCGGTGTGTGTGTGTGTGTGTGTGAATGATAGACAAAGCAACGGCAAAAACCGCAAGAGCACTTCACTTGATAATATCGCAAAAAGAGAGAGAGAGAGAGAGGGAAGGAGAGAGCAAGCACTCGCTCGCTAAGCGCAGACAAAAAACGAACATGACACGCACACAGCGCCCACAAAACGGAAACTCGCATGCCTCGTATATATGTATAGGTATCTACAAGTGTGAGTGTGTGTGTGTGTGTGACTCTGTACGTGTTTTTGTGGCTTGTTGGTTGAGTAATGATATCAGAGAAGCTGTTCCCATTGTTGTTGTATTGTGTTTGGAGGCAGCAACATATGTTTTCTTCTGTTGAGTGCGGGTGCGTGCCATATGGATTCAAGTTAAATTCGCACAATTTGTAGCATACTTTTTTGGCAGGCTTCCGTTTTATTGTTGTTGGCGGTCGCAAGCCCTGCTGCCAATGCACACAATGCACATAAGGTTGAAGCGAGCGCAGTAATTAAATTTTAAAATGTCCTCCCATGGCAGCGCTTACAACTGGCAAGTTGCAAAGTCTCTAATGCATTCGTTATGGCACATTAACGCTCCCAAGTGCCGACCAGCTGGCATTCATTGGGGATTAGACTCCATACACACTCTATCTCTCTCTGTCTCTGTTTCTCTCTCTCTCTCTCTCTCTCTCTTTGTCTGCCTCACTCTGTGCGGCTCATTGTATTACATGGTTCATGGGGTTTTTTTGCGGGGCTAATGCCCCCACATTGAGCAGCACTGCAACTGTTGTTGTTGCTGCCTGCCAAGCTGACCGGAAATGTTATTGTAATATGCTCGGTGTGCTCTGCTAAAAAGTATGCTAAATATTTGATTATGAACTGTGTCCTTCTGGAACGCGTGTGCACATATGGCTCCGACTGATAAGCCTCGGGACCCAACTGGACCATTGTCCATTGTTGGCAACAGCCACCCCGTTACACATTACACGGTATACTGATACCCTCTCTGCCACCAACCCGCTTCCCTTAGATGCAGCAGCACTCTGGTCCATTTTAATGAATTTTCCCTGCTCCTTTTTGCCTTCTATTTTCCATAAGCCGTTGCCAGCGGCCATTTCAGCTGCTGCTGCTGCTGCTGTTGCCCAGCGAGCGCTCAGTGATTTCTATGATGACATGTGCCTTTTTATTCTCACTACCACACACACATCTCTTTGCCTTTCATTTACTTCTGTCTCGGCTCTTTCAGCATGTTTCCTTTGCTTCCGCCTTTGTTGCCGGGTAACTGGGTCAGCGCGCAATTGTTGAAGGGCTGCTTCTGCTGCTGCTGCTTCTACTTGTTCTGCTAAGGGGGTTGCTGCTGCTGTTGTCGGACAGTGTAACTGTGAGAGATAATCACGCATATGCCTAACGGTTAAGTTTTTGAAGTGCACGACGGAGGCGGAAACAAAGGGTGTCAGCATCATCAGCAGCAACATTCGCTTGTTCTCTCTCTCTTTCTCTCTCTCTCACTCACTATTTCCCTCTCTGCATGCGTGTCTGTGTGTCTGTTGTGTGTGTGCGGCGTCCCTTTTGCCTTGCTGACGTTGCTGATCCAATTGGGTAACGGGTGAGGTGGCGGCGGGGGCAGGGCGCTTGTTTAATTTCTTGTGCTCATGTGCTCCACATTTTCGCAAGAAGAATTTTCTGCTTGGAGACACTTTAAAGTGGCGCACAGCAACCGTCAATTTAGCCAGACTGGGACGCATTCAATTGGGGCCAACAGCAAATGCTATATGATTACCCAAATATCAAGCAGATGCCAACAGCAGAGTTACAAGTTTTTGGGAGTGAGACACACAATCAATTTGTGCATAACCCATAGTTATGATTTGTTCACGTTTATTCACTTTTACTGACTGCCCCCCCAAAGATAATATACATAAATTAAGTAGGCTTGTGCACATTTTTCCAAAGTCAATAAACAAATGGCTGTTTTCTATCAGGACTTGCCATCTTGCAGAATATTGATAAAAAAAAAGAAGAGAAAAATGTATAAAACATGAAGCCCCCTTTAAAGTGATGTGCACACCAGGGAAAGGGCGAGAGTGACCCGAGTGTGTAGGGAAGCAGAGTATCACAACATTGTTTTACTAAATGAGTTAAGTGAGCTGCTGCTAATAATGCGAACAATGGCAACTCTTGCTTGCTTTAATTGCATCCGAAAAAGCAGGCGCAGCCGTTGAAAAGCACATTTCATGAAGTGCCAGCAACAGCTGTCCAAAAGACCCCAATATATCATATAATATGAGGCATGGCAGGCACGTTCAGCACTCTCTACGTATATATACATGTATGTGTGTGTGTGTGTGTGTGTGTGTGTGTGCATTTGTGTATGACCATATCAACGCCCTCATATATTGCACGAGCCATCGTTCTCCTTTGTTGCTGTGAATTTATGGCGGCATATGAATATTAAAATCGAATATGTTGCTGTCGATTAAAGGCTTTTCGTCCGGAGTGCACTCCTCTCCATCTCATTCACCACTGCCCCTGCCCCCTATCGTATCCCATCGACATCTCAACCCATTGCAATTGTGGTCGTTTGTTCTGTCTGTCTGTAGCACACAGCACACCTACCTACTCCGCCCCAACACTACAAACATTTGCTGCACTCTTGTTGTGTGTTTGTTGAGCCCACAGCGACACAGATACGACTCGACATTTCCGCTTGTGCGGCAGTGCTGTGCTACGGATCTGTCCATTGAT